CCAATGGTAGCAAATGCTATCATTGAGGTGCTGCTCTCTGAAACTAAGTCGAAATGCTTCTGGTTGAAAAAGAATATCTCAACAACAATTAGTGAGTGTTCGTTTGATATTTTCGTTAATCCTTTCGCATCTTGTTGTTTCTCTGATACAATACATACTCCAAATCGATCCAGTAAAGAGCTATGTGAATCACTTTGTATTACTCTACAAGTTCAGATCAAGTAGAAGTTTATACCAACTCTATTACGTTTCATATACTACTGTGTCCAAAAAGTAAGACCAATTTAAAATTTTTTTTTTAAATCTCTATTTATTACTCCAAATCTATTTCGTCGCCTTCAAAGTAATATCGTCGCCCTCAGACACAATATACTTATGCCAACGTTTTTTCTAACCCTCGAAACAGTTGTTAAAGTCGATTTCCGGAATGGCCTTCAAAACTTTCTTCGATTCAGTTTGTATCTCTTCAATCGAGTCAAAACGGTGTCTCCGGAGCGGTCTTTTGAGTTTAAGAAATAGCCAGAAGTCACACGGTGCTAAATCAGGTGAATATGGTGGTTGTGGAACGATATGGGTCGAATTTTTAGCGAAATGGTCTCAAAGAACCAATGCAGTGTGAGATGGTGGGTTTATATCTATCACTGCAGTGTGGGTTTATATGCATCACGTAATACGGTTTCCAACCGTAGGGTTGGAAAAAACGTTGGCATAAATGTATTGTGTCTGAGGGAGATTACTTTGAAGGCGACGAAATAGATTTGGAATAATAAATAAAGATTAAAAAAAAAATTTTAAATTGGTCTTACTTTTTGGACACAGTAGTATGTATTACACATATCAAGACATCATATACATAATAAAGTGTTTATTATTATCGTTATTATCTTTGTTCAACGAATCCCCAGCGTCGGGACGGTAAGAGACTCGTCATCCAATGACAATCACATTCGTGAACCACGCTCGCTCATTAATTAGTCCACACACGAGTGCTGCTCAATTAACCGACGCTTAACAATACCGTGAAATGCCGAGGAATAACATTTTGACGATACAATTATCGGACCTCGTTCGCTGGCACTTTCGATGATCCGGTAATGGACGATTTCGATAAGAGTCATTAGTCTCGCGTGTGTTTTTATCTTACGCATTCCGCGCAATTTAAGTGAAATCGCGAATCTCGGTCCCGGACTTTCCCGCGACGATGAAATGCCTTCGGGGTCACGCACGCTACATCCCGTCACAGTCGATCTAATTTCGAGCTCATCCGCGCGCGCGCGCGCACGTGTGATTTCCATTTTCATTCCGTCGTCGGAATCGAGTGATTTCGATGCCGGCACTCGCGGGCAAATCTCGCGCGGCTTTCACGCGCGCCGAAGTGAAAACGCGCGCGTACGCGATCACGCAGAGTGCGTCGCAGCGTCGGGGCGATTTATCGGATTAATACGCGCGATAAGCGGCGCGCTCCGCGATTAATCAGATCGGCCATGAATAATTATGAATTATCGCTATCACAACAGACGATTAATCAAGCTGCCCGGCGATAAATTCCGAATTGCCATTCGTTACGTGAATTGTCGCGACGTGTATTGATACTCGCGGGATTCTCTCGCAAGCGGACAGATTCAGTTTTGCAGATCACTTCCTCCCCTCCCTCGCCCTCTTTTCCTCCGTCTATTAGCTAATAACACAAGCCTGCAAAATTGGAGATGTTTAAAGTTGATTGGGATCTGACAATGTTTTCTTACGTAATTTTTTGCGCTGAATCCGAGTCCGTCTGCAGAATTGCTCTATTACATCAGGATTTCGAGATATCCTAACTTAAAACTATCAAAAAAACCGTTTTTAACCATATTTTATATTAAATTAAAAATTAAGAAAATTTTTTTTGTCAAATCCATCAACGGTATCATTTACTACTATACGGCCTCCTCAAAATCTTTTGACCAAAAAAATTTTCTCAATTTTTAAGTTGATTTAAAATATGCCTGAAAATGGCTTTTTTGGCAGTTTTAAGTTACGATATTTCGAAATTTTGATTCGAAACTCTGCGACCAGATTCGGATTCAGCGCAAAAAATTACGTAAGAAAACATTGTCAAATCCCAATTAACAAAACCATGCAGGTCTGTGTAATTGCAATGTTAGTCGCGCGAGCCCACGATAAGACACAGTATTTCCAACGCCACAAACAGGGTAGCGAGTAATTAATTACTTATTTCATTAATTGACGTGTTTAATTAACGACCAATATAAGCCAATGCAATTGGAGACCATTCAATTAACTATTAATCACAATGAATTTAATTAAGCACCGTTCGATTGACAATTGTTATGAACGAAGGGAATTAAAGATCGTTCAATTAATAATTGAACTTGGCAAATTTGATTAAAGACTGTTTAATTGATTAACTTAGCCGGTTAATTACTTAACTACTTATATAAGCAGTTGATTGACTGTTTATATAAGTAATTTATACTTGATTGTAAATAACTACAATACTTCAAAATTAAATATACAATATATTTGAACGTTTAATGTGATGTTTTCTATTCAAAGTAAACAACAACAATTAATAATTGAATTTACTAAACTTTTAATTTTAATTGAATTTAATTAAACTTTTAGTGAGATTTGAAAAGGCAAATAAGGAGCAAGCACAGAGTGGGATGATAAAATATCCAGCATGTCAAACGCATGTATCGAAATTTTTTCTTCGATTATCGTACACGGCGAATCAATCTTTCATACTTAGACCGATCCTTGAGTCCTAATTTTTTATATATATATTTTAAAATTCCCAAAACCCCCATTAAATAAATGACTCAGATAGATTCATTATGTATGTTGCGAAAAAACTGTCTTCGCCAGGACTCGAACCTGGAACCTCCCCACTTTCATATTAATATTAAAGTAATATTAGTATTTAATAGCTAAGACATCTGTGCTTGCTCCTTATTTGCCTTTTCAAATCTTACTGATAGTTATTCAAAGGAGCTTTCTATAATTTCGGTTTAATTAAACTTATATAAGTATTAATTGATTATTTATATAAGCTTATATAAACGTACAAACTTATATAAACTTATATAAACATTCAATCGATTCAATCGAAGATTTCTGAGTCGAAATTTTGGTCCAATGTTAAACTTTCTACAATGTAGTAGGAGCTAAGTTAGCAAGGCAGGTTTAATTATAATGATACAATTTACTTCTACTTTGATTCTGATAATATCCGAAATTTCCCTTTTCACTTTTTTTAACGTCAAAATTAAATAGCCTTTAATTTAACCCGCAAAGTTCATCAATTAGCTAAGTTAGCAAGGTAGGTTTAATTATAATGATACAATTTACTTCTACTTTGACTCTGATAATGTCCGAAATTTCCCTTTTCACTTTTTTTAACGTCAAAATTAAATAGCCTTTAATTTAATCTGCAAAGTTCATCAATTAAACGGTTTTTAATTAAATTTGTTAATTTTATTAATTTTATTTGCGTGCGTTTTTCTTTTTGTGCTTGACCTTCAATTCTTTCTTAACTGTCTGAACTTAATTTTCTGAAAAGGACTCAAATCGGGTCGAAACGTAAATTTATATATTTATATAATTGTAATATATTAATTGCACTTTTTCACCTGTGCCTGGCTCTTAAATACTCTTACCTCTAATCCTTTTATTTTGTGTTTTTAAATTTGTTAAATCTAATTATTAATTGTTGTTTTTACTTCGAATATAAAACTTTAACGTCACATTAAACATTTAAATATTTAATTTTGAAATATTGTAGTTATTTACAATCAACAATCACCAAACTGTAAGAATATCCATACAATAATTTATATTTGAAAAAGGACAGATCTTATATTTCTATAAGCTATATTTATAAAAGTATTAATTTTTTTACTTTTTTATTTTACTTTATCATTCTGTCCATGTCTTTTCTCTTCCATTCACTCTTTCTACGCAAACTCCCTTCTATTTATTTGTGTTTCCACTTTGAATCACAACTCGAATTATTTACGAAATTGAAATAGATTTCAATTAAGTACCAGAAAATTTTCTATAGTTAGAATAAGAATGGAATTCCTAATTGATATCGCATACAATGCATTTACTTGGAGCAAGTTTGGATAATCTGATCGGAATCTATGCTGTGCATAGAAATATTTGGCAAATTTTCTTACAACTACCGACTGAAAGAAGCGCGAGTTTTCATAATATTTCTGTGTAGATTCTAGATAAAGAACCTATATATTTTGGGCAAACATGCGATTACCAATTCGATATCATGGCGAGATAATCAATTTTGGGACAAATTTGGGTCTTATAATCGAGATCTGTATCTGAAAAATCTTGAGAAATTTCTATGGAATTGTCCTTGATACCACAAGGATCTCTGATACTACAAGTATCTCTGTTAGTAGAAGTATCAGACGGGAGAATATTCGCGTGTTACTGTATACGCGCGCGATCAAGTTGTACACGCGTGTGCCGTTAGCGACAAGGTCAAGGCGGAAAGTGACTTTGCTACTTCAGCTTGAAAGGCCAACCAACCAACCAACCAACCAGCCAACGAAGCAACCAACTAACCAGCGAGCCAAGCAGCCAGTCAACCAGCCAGCCAGCCAGCAAGCCAGTCAGTCAGCCCGCCAACCGTTCTCTTAATGTTCCATTTCTTGTCGCATGTCAACTGAGGAGCCGGGGTGATGGAGTTCTCACAGCGTAGAGGAGCAAAACAAGTGTGCATCGGCTGCGTCGCTGCTGCCGCCCCAGCTTGCCTCCTCTATATTTACTCAAAGCTGAAAGATATGCTAATCGAAAACATCCTGGCTCGCTCGCTGGCGTGCGTGAAACGGCCGTTTAATGCGACTCGAGTTACATCATAAAGTTTCCGCGCCCGTTTACACACGCCCTAGCGGACCGACACGCGACACAATCGTCTTCTCTGTCTCTCTTTCAACGTTACTTTGCCGGTGATTTACTTAACATCGTTTCCACCTTACCTTTTCCGGCTGCGGCCCCCATGGCTTCACGACCAACAGCTCCTCCTCCGCATTCGGCGCCATGTCCGACTCGCTGGGAAAACAGAAACGGAGAAACTAGTTACTAAGAGGTAGTGAAATCAGAAATCTCAGCTCGTTTGGTTCGGAAAAATTCAGATGACAAGAACCAGATATCGTTATGCAAATCTTGTAGCGCAAACTGTAATCGAGTTAAACTAACTAAAAATCAAATCAGATCGACAATCGTAGATACTTCTGATATAGATGTTTGAATATCAAAATATTCATTAAATATAATCGTATATTTAAAAAAAATTAAATAAAAAGAACCAAGCGTCAGGGTTGTGCAAATTTTCTCGCATAAATTTCATTCGAATAAAATTGAATCTAAATGAAATCAGATTGATATTCTGATATATAAATTTCAACATCAGCATAAATTTTGAATTTGTGTCACAAATAAAAAGAATATTATAATTTTCATGAAGGAATTAATTGGTTTGTTTCTAAAAGTAAGTTAAATAAATCTGATGATAAATATAGCCAATAATATGTTCTGAGTCAGGATCGTCTCATTTTGAACTAAATCTCCAGTTTGTGTCACAAATAAGAGATTAAGAAGAGTATAAACATATTTCTGAGAGAATCAAGTTAATTAGTTTGTCTCTAAAAATAAATTAAATAAATCTAACGATAAATATAGAACAATAATATGTTCTAGGTCAGCTTTAGTATTATTTCATTTTGAGCTAAATTTTGAGTTTGTATCACAAATATGAGATTAAAAAGAATATCAAAATTTTCCTGAAAGAATCAAGTTAATTAGTTTGTCTTTGAAAGTAAATTAAATTAATCGAGTGATAGATATAGTCAATAATATGTTCTAGGTCAGTTTTAGGATCGCCTCATTTTGAGATAAATTTCAAGTTTATATCACAAATAAGAGATTGAAAAGAATATCAACATTTTCCTGAGGGAATTAAGTTCGTCTGTGACGATAAGTTCAATTGATTAAATTCAAGTTATTTCGATGATTTTTTTTTATAATATAAAGAAAATATAAAACTTCCAAAACGAATCCACGTAAACTCGGGTATTATGGCCATACTGGAAAAGATGGCCAAAGACTGTAATTTCTCTAATAATTACAAAACATTACGTTTGTGTAATCACTCACAAAGATAATCGATATTTATCGTAGTGTATGTGCGTACATTTTTCGAAATAGCAAGATTATGAATATTATATCATATTTTTATTTTTGACTATTTGTAAAATTTCTCATTTCTCAATTTCTCTCCTAAACTTTACTAAAATTTTCTGTAACGTCAAATAAATTACAGTTAAGCTATCAATGTTAGATACATAAAATAGATATGTAAATTATAATATAACATGCATTTTTGTTTTCGTTTTCGCTATTTATTTATAAATACTATGGCTTTCACTCGTATTTAGGTAAGACAGTCCACAATCATTCTATGAACATTTATAATATGAAAGTCGTTATATCTCCAAAATTTCAATATTACAGTAATTAAATCTTATGTGCAATTTATTTTAATCAAAAAATTGCATTTAGAATTTAAGTTTTGTAATAGAAGTTTCTATTTTATATGTATATTTTTCACAAATAATATATATTAAATATCCTATATTAAAATAAATATGTTAAATTATGTTTTTTCCATTATCTTATAAAATAACAGGTACAAAAATAAGTATCATTAAGGCTCTCTATAGATAACACCTAGATTTTGACAGAAATAAGGCTATTAAGAGCCGATGCTAGATGTTTTGTGCAAATGTCTATGAAGGTGAGGATAATAATGTTTGTAGTGTCAAACGCACGCGCCGAATTGATACACGGAAAAAATCTGCTACATATGGACAACTAAACATAATTTGCTGTATTAGCCATCTTTTATTTGCTGCAGGAGCCAATTTCCTTGCTATGACAACAAGAAAATCTGCTTCTGCAACAAAAAAAAAAGCTAAAGCAGTTAAATTAGCAGTTAAATTAAGCTAAATTATGTTTAGTTGTCCATCTGTAGCAAATTTGCTACGTTAGCCATTTTTCTTGTTGTAGGAACATATTTTCTTGTTATCATAGCAAGAAAATAGATTCCTGCAGTAAAGGAAAAGTAGCTAACACAGCGAATTATATTTAACTTTCCATATGTAGCAAATTAATTTGTTGCTGCAGCAAATTATTTTTTTCCGTGTAGGTACAGAAACTTGAACATAAAATATGTATGGGCCATCTATTAAAGTTATGACCATCTTATCTAAAAAATTTAGATAAGATGGTCGATACTAATGTTTTGATATTTTTGTAATAAATAATTTCAATGAAGTACTTTCCTTCCAACTCTGATGGTATTACGTACTGTAGACTTCGGTGAAGTAATGTGCCAAACGCTATTAAGAAATAACAATAAGAAATGTACTTTTTTTACATTTTAAAAAAGTATGGCCACCTTATCCGAGTTTACCCTACACCCTGAAGCAGATAATAATTGCGTACACTCTGAAAGAGATAATAATTGCACGACGCGCACAATCATGTTGACAGATACATGTTGTTCCGATTAAAACGCACCTTCGGCGGACGCGTCGTACTTAATTAGAGAAATCGCTCCGTTAATTTCCCTTATACGTTTTTCCCCGGAGAATCGCGAACGTCGAGCGATCGTCCGTGTCGCGGAACGACGCGCGCGGAATTTGCTTCGTGGTGTTTTCAAACGGTACCTCACTCACGCGGTGCGTTCCGCCAGGACGGAGCGGAGGCGATGGCGCGTACCAGCGCCGAGTGCATTATTGTAGCAGCTTCTAACTAGAAATTTTCATTTCACCGACCGTGTCGCCCGATCGTTCCACACATCGGGTCGCTTCAAGTTCCGAGCAATAATTCACTTGAGCTTCTTTCGTTTTCGAGGAGGTGCGTGTAATTAAGCTGTAGCTGTATCATAAATCAATCTTTTTTAGGAATTTTTCAAATATTAACAGCATATTGATCGGAACACAACCGATACGTATGTGCAATTAGAAAAAAATTAGCCGAAGCTTTGAGATAATTGAAGTCGAAGTTAGCATTATTTATATGTATCAGAAGTATGAAAACGTCCGATATCATGTTTTCTACTGAATTACTCTTTTACGGTTTTAACGAAAAAGACAATAAAACAGACCTGTGGAAATATTATGAAGGAATTACAAGATCGTTGAGCATTCAGTTTTCAAGAAATTAATATATAAAGTACGCAAATCATGGTAACGGTTGAAGTATATGACAGCTGTAATGATTAATATTTTAATTAATATTTAAAGTAACTAATATTTTATGCATTTTTTATATTTTCTTCGGTGCTTGATTAAGGGGACTGGAGAGTCAGATTGCTTGAAAATCATGCTTGCTCTTTCACAATTTTTTATGACAAACTGAATGAATATGCGAAAATATTATTTTGACGTTATCGTGTGAACCACTATAATAGAAATTGAGTAAAAATTAACAAAATTGCAAATATCTTAATGGAATATTATTAAATTTTCAGTTCTTTTATAGTAAAAAATTAATATTTCAAAATTAAATATTTTCATGAATTTGTCAGTAGTTCACACGATAATGACAAGCTTACGGAAATTTTCTATCTAAAATTCAACTTAATTGAATCACCGAGAGTCAAGATATTACAAAATGACGACCTTGAAAAGAAAAACGAAATATATTTTAACATGTACCATACACTTATATTGACTATTTGATCATCAAAATTATATTTTCCTTCTCTTAATATGTTGTATAAATACATGTCAAAATAATACTTTTGCATATTCATTCAGTTTGTCATAAAAAATTGTTAAAGAACAAGCACGATTTTCAAGCAATCTGACCCTCCAGTCTCCTTAAGTATTTTCTTAAAGATAAAATGGTTAAAAATGATCTTGAAAATCTATAATCAATATATAAAAATGCGAAAAATATGAAAAAAGTCAACGTCACGATTATTTCTCTAGTGCGTTAGTGTGCATTTATTCGTACGTATGATATATTAACGTATGTATATTAAAACATACGTCTAACACGGACACTCCCAATTAAAGATGTTAATACGTCAAAGCGCGAAAAACGATTATTTCTTAATAGGCTTTTAAACATTATAGTTTGATTGATATTCACTTGTTACAGTGTCATAACTGTACATAAAAAATCATATTTACAAACATTTAGCACAGATTTTTTAGAGCTTTTTCGTGTTATATAAACTATTACTTTGGTTCGTAGGAAAAAAATTCAGATGACAAGAAGCAGGTATTTTTATGCGAATCTTCTAGCGCAAACTGCAGTCGAGTCGATTAAAAATCAAATCAGATCGACAATCGTAGATCCTTTTAACATGGACGTTTGAATGTCAAAGTACAGTCAACGATAAAGGGTTAATAAAATTTAAATATAATTGTATATTTTAAAAAATTGTAAATAAAAAGAATATAACTTTCTAGCGATATCGTCATGAAACGCGAACTATTTCAACCTATTATTGCGTGCACATATATTACGATCGAAGAATTTCTACGTATTTTTAATTACATTGGAAAAAAGTCGTGTAAAAAAGACACAGTAGCGACTGTAAACTTCAGTGGTCGAGACGATGTTCCCTCGTTCTCTCGGGAAATCTCATGCGCATTATTTAACATACGGAAAATATCGCGCTATTTTCCTCCTTGTTACTGTTACATCGAGAAAAAGTCGGTTAGGAAAAGCTAAGTCTCAGAATTATGCAAGTTTTGTTGCGCGTACTGCAATGGGGTTAAACTAAAGAAAAATCGAATCAGATTAACAAACTGTGACGTGGGAATTTCAGCTACAATATTTAACAAACAATAAAATATTTACGGAACTGAAATATAGTTGTATGTATAATATAGAAGTCCTTTCAATTACAAAAGGTTCAACTAATTATACAATTTAAACATGTAAATAAATAAGATTACACTTCTGATTGAAAGATTAAATAGTTTAGACGATAAATAAACTTAATAATGTATCGTGGTAACTTTATGATCGCC